GGGGAACAATTTCTCCTAATTCCCCCTGAGGGGTCTGTGCAAAAGAAAATGTGAAAGGGGACAGTCCAGAGTGTTGGGCTTTGTGCCTCTAGATTTTCACACTTCCTTAAACTGCGGAGGAGGATGGTGTGGAGAAGTGAGAGATTAGTGCTGATTAGAAAATGATATACGAATGGGACAGAGAAACGGTAAACGTTGAAAAGATAAAAACCACCTGGAAACTGTGCTTATTTTGCGATTTCATGTGAAGTATTGACTGGGGGATCCCAAATATTCAATTTTCTAAAAAATAATTTATTCTTTAATTTGTAGTGTATTATGTGGTCTTTTAGGGGGTAGATCTGCCTCTTCATTATTCTTTTTTTAATCCCAACATCAGTATCAATCGATTTTTCCTGAGTGGGAGGCCTCGTCAATGAGGAATTTATATAAGGAATAATAGGGGCAAGTACCCAAACATTTTCTAGGAAGATTTTAATTGGCTATACAAAAATTTTCCTTGTTCATTATACTAAACATAACACTTAATCCAGGGTGATTGGGTCTCCCTCAAGACAGGAAGTAGGTTGTGTTTAATCTTTTGCAAATTAACTAGTATAAAAGTAGAGTTAAGTCTTCTAATTATAGATATTTAGTAACTAATCATTTTAGCTTTTATCTAAAGTATTTTTCCATTTGTCTTCCCTTGGGTAATAGTGAGAACCAGCTTCATGGTAAAATTCCATAAATAAAAAATTAGGTTTCAATGAAAGTTAATATCAGTTGAAGAGACTGTTTCGGGGGATCAAGATAATGATTTCCTGTTGACAAGAAGTGTCGAGCAGCCAAGGATGTTTCAGAGCCATTGACTTTTTAAAAAAATTCAGCGAGTATATGCTAAAAGTGATAGATATAGTATCTCTCTGACGGACTTTGGTTCTAGAGCTGTGGTCGCCTTGCTTTCAGCTTTATGAAAGTAGGGAAAAGAACCTAAAATAAATGAATTTCTCCTTTCTTCTTTATATTCCACGTATATTCTACATTGATTTTAATTAAAATTAGATCTTGAAATTTAAAATTGTGGTGATGTTTCCAATTTCTTTGTGTCCTTCCTTCCTTCTTTGAGCAAAATAATGGCCTGGTTCCTTAGTAAAAGTAGACTGTGTCCACATCAGCATTTTTGTAGAAAAAATTTTGTAGAAAATTCAAGGTTTGGGTAATGTCAATTTTGCTGATAATTGAGAAGTTCCAAAAAGATATTACTATTTCTTATTTTTAAATGAATACATACTAATTCAAAAGAAGTGTTTTGTGTTCCACGTAACTAAACTAATGTCATTTGTTTTCAACTCTGGCATGGATTCTGTGGCTATATACAAATCCCTCAGCCTTTCTTTGCTTTTGAGTCTTCAAGCAAGTAGGAACATAATGAGTTGATAATCATCAACCTTACTCATAGAATTACTCTACAGGATATCGAAGAATGTCAAATTACTTTAAAATGGTTGCACAAATAATAAATAATTGTGTACTCCCCCAAATCACTTATTTATTAATTTGCAAGTTATTACCTTTGCTTTCTTAAAGGATAGAGTTTGTGCAATAGCCAATTTACATAATTTTCTATTTAAATGCCTGTCGTTAATGGTAGTAAAAATAGAAAAAAATTAATGCTAATAATTTAGAGAACTACAGTTTTTGTAAATCTTTTTTCTACATAATTCAGTTTACGCAAAATAATCTTTCCACCAGTCCACTAATAGCTTAATTATTCTAAATAGTTTGATGACTTTATAAAGGTCCTTTCTTTGAAGGATTATAGGACTTCTGTTTGAAGTCAACCCCGACTTTTCCTCTCTAATTGCCTTTAGCAGCCTGCTTTCACCAAAGATAGAAGCGTTTCCATTTTCTTACTGCATTCTCTGCTCAACTATAGCAAAGTCAGTTGTGGGCATTTTTCTAATATGCCTGAAGCAGCGCTCTTATGAGTTACCTCCCTTCAATCTTTAAATGGAATACATACTTCAAATATGCCCATCATAGGTATATTAACACTCACAGGCTTACTTGTAGCCACAAGTTCGGTCAACCGCAAAATCAGTCATGTGTGCGCACCTTGGAGACTCTGGGGATGTGGAATCTCCACGTATTTTTTTGTTGAGCACCTTGTTGCACACACTGTCCTTGTATGTAACTCATCTGAGTTTCAGTTGAAGTTGTGAGGAGCACATGTACATTGTTCAAACTTAACAAACTTAATTGGGACTCTCACTGCAGATACTTTTAAATCCCTAAACCAGTGTAATACACACAGTTGCTCATACTTCTCCTCCAGATTTCTTACTCATTTGTGTAGCACTTTCTGAACTAACCATTTCTCTTCAAACCTAACCAAGGCCATTGCTGTTTAGAAAGTTGTAGCAAAAGAGGAAAAAAAACCCCGAAGGCTAGAGAAGAAATGACAGGGTGTAGACTGACTTTGATCCGTGGTTTTAAAACTGTGTTCCACAGAAGGGTCAGGTGGGTTGGCCAGTGAGAGAGTGGGGTCCAGCTACTTCATTCACAGATTGATTTTGAATTTGGTTATCCTGATCTAGGGCTTTTGAAAGGCTTTCTTTGTCCTCTTTGATATCTTAATTTTGTCAAAATGTATTGATTTAATCCGTTAATAGGCCAGGTAGAGCTAGAGATGATAGGAAATGAGGACGTGTGTGTGTGTGTGTGTGTGTGTGTGTGTGCGCGCGCATGCGTGTGCACGCAAGGTGTGCCGTATTCATTTCTAATGTAGAATAGACCCAAAGTAAGTTGTATCTGAGAAGTTAAAAGAAAACTCATATCCCCCTCCCAAATGTCCATGAAATTGCATTTTGACTTTGGTAGTAAAGATGTTTGTTTACCCGTCTTTAAATCTGTAACTTAATTTCCTTTCTGTGGTTTGTAAATTAATCTTTTTACTTTCGTGATCAAAAGCACTATAAATACATTGTGTGAAATACTGAAAGAATAAACAAACCAAGGAAAATACTCTCGGAGACCACACAAGGATAAGTAGGGCTGATAGGGAATAGCAAAAAAAGAATGTAATTATTGAGATGAATTATTAAGTAACTTCCTCAAATTGAATTAGAATTGACTTTATTTCCTTAACCATATATTTTAAAAGGAACTGAAACTTTAAAAAAATTCACTTGAAGTCATTAACATTCCTATGGATTAGTTTAAGTTTGAACAGTATTTAGTATGTACTGTTTTCGAGTTTAGATCACTGTATTTGGAGCATAATATTTGCCTGGCTGAAATGATTCAGATCAACGCTTTTCAAACTTTGTTTCTTGGAGGTTTCTTACCAATGCCTTAGAGTCCAGCATGTGAGGCAAAGGAAACAAAGCAGGCGGGATTCCTGGCTCCCTTGTTTCAACCCGGGCAACCTCACATTTATCTCTTTTGTACATCAAGAGTTCTGCTTAGGATTTGAATTAAAAGGAATTCCATTGCTGAAGAGAAACAAAAAACCTTGAAAATCCCTGGCTTGGATCAAGCCCTACTCTGTTGCAAGGGGCTGACTCCTAGAATTTCTTCCACACAGAATCTAAATTGTACATTTTTGTAAACTAATTTTCATTTCAAAATCTGAAAATGCATGGGTGAATATGAGTGTTGATAAACATGTGTATTATGTGAATCTTTGTAAGTATCTTCATTTTTGCATGTATTCATCCAAACATAATTTATTGCATGCTTACTGCTAGGGATACTAAACAAAATAGGAACGTTCTTACTGTTAAGGCACTTTGGGGCAGTTAAACATTATGTGAGGAGAAATACAATGACCGCTTGTGTATGGAAGCCTGCTCAGTGGTAACCTAGTTGGGGGAAGGGGTGCTTAGAGAGTGAGGGGGCATAGAAGAGGTGGTACTTGAGATGTTACTTTTTAAATTAAAAATAATAAGTTAAATATTTTAATTAACGTTCCTGTGGGATATTTTTAAATTATAGGAGTAATATGAGTCCACTGTAACAAATTTTGGGTTGAGTTTGGAAGGATAAATGGGAGCTGGCTGGGGGCAAGAGATGATAGTGGCCATGGTGGCGGTGATTCTGTTTCAGGAAGTTCAGGGAGGGCTCCACGTAGGAACCAGATACATTGATGGCCTTCCAGATCACACTAAGAAACTTGAAACTTAATTTGCAGTAGGTATAAGGAAATAATGAAATGTGTTCATTTGAATGACATAATCAGATTTGTGTCTCAGAAGATCATCTGACAGCAGTGTGCACAGTGGATTATAAGGGAGCAAGAATGGGAATGAGGAGATAATTCAGATCAGTTGCCGAGATCCAAATGAGAAATGATGATGGCTTCAACCAAGGTAGCAGTAGAGATGGGGAAGACGCAAACAGAGTCAAAGGAGATTGAGGAGAATCATGAAGGGTTCCCAAGGGATTCATTGTAGAAACTGAACGAGAGGGAAGAGTCAATGATGACTTCCATATTTTGACTGGTGCAGTTGGGTGGATAGCCAGTGTCATTCCCTGGGATTTGGATGGAGGAGCACAGGTTTGGCACAGTAAATGAAGATGGTAATATATGTTGTTCTGTGAGGGTGTATATGTGTTCTAGACCTGGATCTGAAAGTGTACAGGTTACAGACACAAGCCCTGGAGTCCTATGTTCTCATCTTTATCCACCACTTCCTGGCTACGTAGCCTTGGACTTCCAAGCCTATTTCCTCATCTGTAAATTGAGAAAAATAATACCTACCTCCTATGTTGTTGTGAGGTAGAGTATAACATGTAGTAGAAACTCCATGAACATTATCACATATTGTTATTATTCATCTTCCTCAGACCTCAGTTTCCTCACCCATAAACTTATGAGAGGTGGGGGGCTGTGTTTGTGCTGGATCAGATGATTTCTGGGGTCTTGCCAGCTATAAAGCTTTTCATGCTAATGTGTCTGCTCTCTGTTAACATGTGTGTGGACAAATACAGTTTTACTAAAAGATGTTAATCATTTCTAGGAACTTGCCACATCAGACTCAGATTCCCCAACAGCAGACTACAGGTGAGTACGAAAAGTAATAAGTTCATGTTTATGAACGAAGCTAATAGATCAAAAGATAACTATACTACTAGGTAATTTATGAAGCTTTATCTTCACCAAGTGAGGCAAAACAGTTGTGTCATTCCTTAATCAGAGTTAGAACCTCTGAATAATAGCTTAGATCTTTGCGTAGATTGGCATAAGAGTGATAGACACAGGGTAAATGATCTTACAGCAGAAGCATCCATGGAGGTCCTGTCTAATTAAGGAAGACTGAATAAAATCCCCTTCCTTCGGTGAAGCTCCCTATTCTTCCCCTTGGTATGAAAAATTCTTAGCTTGGATGCTTCCAGGATTTGTCTCAGTAAGTGAGCAGCTTGAAACTGACTCTTACAAAAGGAAACCATTGTGACTAATCACTGAGGCTTCAGGGGGATAAATGAGAAATGGTTGGTCTGGTTTTAATGCCGTTTAAAAAGCTCTTATAACATGACCAGTGACAACAAGATGGCGGGCAATTCTCCCTGGACTATTCTATTTCCCTAAGACTTGCTTTCTTTAAGTTTATTTCTTTCCAGTGTCCCTAAAAAATTTCCACAGCCAATTATTTCATTCATCTCTGTACCAAGTAGATAACTTATTCATGATTGTTTTCTAATTAGTGGTTGATTCCTAGTTCTAATTGCTGAGCAACCAGTAATGCCTTTGTAGCTCTTTTGGAAAAGCCAGAGAAGTTTTAAAAATGTAAGTTGGATGTGGAGTTCTGAGTATGAATAGTGGTATTGTGGTAGGGAAGCTATTAAGTAAGTCTCATAAAAACTTTAGGCACATATAGAAAATTATTGCTTGTTTTCATTCAAAAAATTATCTTCTCTATTACTGCTTTCGGGAATTTAAGGAGATTTTCGTTTGACAACTTTTCAAAGATTTGAGGCAAGTATAATGAAGTTGTTCATCAGATTTTAATTATGAAATAACGTTTATAAGAATTTCCCCCACAATTCTGATTGCTTGTTTTAATTAAATGCTAACATGTTTCAACAAGACTGTTCAGTATATTAATGCAGTGGTGCTACTGTGTGAGCATTCAGGAGACTAATGAAGGAACAAACTGCTGTAATTGTGTGTTGTCTAAAGAGCAAAGAAATAAATGAATCCCTACTACCACTAATTTCATGACTTTTTTTTAAAGACGTATAATTTTAAAAGAATATTTCTTCAATGGAAATGCTAGAACTTCTTCCTCATTAACCTCCTAGACTTCCGTCTCTCCTAAGATGTCATACCTCTGATTCTTAATTATTTCAGACAAGGAGTGAAGGAAGACAATATCTAGAAAAATAGTGAATAGTTCTTTCGAATACTTAAAAAATCTAGATTTGACTTCTCCCCCCCTCCCATTGGGAGAAATAAGGAAACCTAAGTAGACGATGTTAGGGAGATTTACCTAATAGTTGTATAAATTTTTAGCAAGTAGACCTGTTAGCTTGCTACGTTTTAGTAATAGGCACCGTTTCCAAATACAAAGATAATTTATGCCTGAGCAAATGTTATAAGAGCCAAAGAATTTCCCTAGGGGGATTTTAGGTTGTTCAACATAATTTTCTAAGTTATTTTTCTAAGACAGGTTTTGGGGAACAAGCATTTTGCTTAAGTCAGGAAAGCTTTCATCTCCTTTTTAGTTAACACTTATAGCCTATTGCCTTCTTGTTTTCTTATATTTTTCTGTAATTTTCTGTATTATTGCCTAAAGTACACCATATCTTCTTGGTTGTTTTCTTCTTGTTCTTGTTTTTGATGAGTCCCCAAAGTACCTAAGTGCTAAAGGGAGAGAGACCAGCCTGGCATCTTTTATAATTATGATATTAGATTTTTGTGTTTCTGCCTCTGATAAATGTAACACCAAATAGTCGTACCTCCTGAAGAGAAGAGCTAAATGGGCAAGTTACATTCCTTATTCCCATTCTGTTCATGTGAATGAAAACATGAAGTTTGTTTCTCAGTTTAGAAGTTATTCCATTCTGTCTGCACATGCATGGATTCAGTGCTGTGTATGTATTTTCATGTGCACAACAGCTTTGCTGTCCCTCTATCCTGGTTATCCTGGTATCGCAAAGAGGCAACAACATCAGTGCAGGATTTTCATACTTTGTTTTTTCCAACTACCTCAAAGCACTATGCTAATGTCACAGTTTTCTTTATGAAGGTAATTTAAGCACAGGGTTTGTCCCATGGATATCAAGTCATTTTGTTTGCAGCTTGCTGTATGGAATTTGTCAGGGGAGGGTATATTTTGAAGTTTGTTTTCTTTAGTTAGTTGTTTTCTTTTAAAAGATCATCAGAAGTTTAAGAAATGAACTAGCTGCTGGGGTTGTAATCCTGGACTTAAGCACTAGCTGAGATAATAGAGCAGTTAAGAGCTGACAATAGCACTACCGTTTGGACCAGGCCCAAGCCATTAGTTTTGATGCCCCTTCAGGTTTTCTCATTTTCTCTGCCCTTCCAAACCACATGATATTTTCTAAAGAGCCACGATTAAAAGGTACAGTCATACGTCCTGCAGTCAAACTCATTCTTTTTGTTTATTGTGGGAGGAATTTTCAGGCCGTGCCTTTTGAGAAATACAGAACATTGTAGCTTTGACCCAAGAAGCAGATGACTAATTTAGAATTTCCTTTTTTTTGAAAACCAAATGCAGAGAAATAATGCAACATAATTATTTTAAATTATGTTAAGAAGATAGAACAGTACGCCTTGCAGTAATTCGTTTTGCTCCAAATCTAAAAGTGTCCATGCTTAACTCATGCCCATATTCATTCTTACACATTGCAGGTAAATGGTATCCCTGAAGAAAGAAAACTAACCGAAGCAATGAATTTGTAATCAGACAATATAGCACTTATATCTTATTTTTGCTCTCTTCCAATAATGCATGAGCTTTTCTGACATATGGTATGCATGTTGACAGTATCAAGTATATATCAAATAATACAAAATAACATTCATTTTACTAATGTATTTTTTTTGGTACTTAAAGCATTTTTGACAATTTGTAAAACATTGATGACTTTATATTTGTTACAATGAAAAGTGATCTTTAAAATAAATATTATTAATGAAGCCTGAAGTCTGGCAAAATTTACTTCAGAAAGTATTTGATTGCCTCCTGTGTAGTAGGAATCTTTCATTGCTAGGAACAGGTTCGCGTGTTGATTCTTTATTTAATGAGATTTTTATTAAGCACTTCCTATAATGTATAAAATGTCTACGCTTCTGTGTTCCAAGTGAGCTACCCATTTACTTAATACTTTTATCCTTGTGGCCTGCAAAGCTCGTTCTTTTATATGCCACTCATTGGAGCTGTTTTAGGGTAAACGTGGCCCTTTGGATTGTGGATCTGATGATCCCCAGTTCATGAAGGGCAGCCCAGACTGCATACTTAACCTGACTCTATAATCAGATATTTGGCTTTAGAAGCACGCCAGGAGTTGTTACTCAAAAAGAGAATAGTTACCTGCTGATGGTGACATGAATTAGCTCCAAAACCCCAGGCTTCCCTGTGGTAACACTACTTTCAAGGCTTAGCAGAGTTTCCTTATACCATGTTGGTATATACATGCTTCATGCATCTTGGACACTACTGGATCAATGTGGTCATCAGGCCAACTAGCAGGCCGCTTTTGTTGCATACCAGAAAACCTTCTCTTAATCTGATCTGGGCAGATTTCTGTGTTACCTATTAATTGGTCAGAGGATACACAAATGCTATCTAGATCTGATTCCAGAATCCAAGAAGGTTCCCTGTTAGTGTTGTGTACAACTTGTCTTCCACTTAGGGGAAATAGTCTACCATGTCGTTGACATTGAAACTCCCCCTCCCAGCCACACCTTCCTGGGACTTAACAGACATTGAAATTCCCCCTCCCAGCCACACCTTCCTGGGACTTAACAGAGGATGTGGGATCTTTGGTTTTTTAAAGATTTACCTCATATTCCTTTCCAAGACATCTAGGGTATTGCCACTCGCTATTCTCCTGGATTGATCAGCTTGAGGTTGTAAAAGTATTGGGTCAGGGCCATGTGCTAGAAGAAAGGAAATGTTGCCACAACTCCCGGCAACTAGACTGTGGCCCAGGGTGGAGAGTTAACAAACTGTTGCTCCTGCCAGGTGAAATCAAACTACTCCTGGTAGTCCAAATGAGCAGGAACAAAGTAATACAGGATCCACAAATCAGGAACTGCAGATCAGGAGTCAGGAACTTTATTCATCTGTTCTAGGAAAGAGACTACTGTTGGGATTGGAAAATGCAGTTGGAGTTAGCATCAGTTTTCACACTGACCATATGGAGGAATTGAATGGGGATAAGAATCATTGGCCAGCATCTCACAAATCTTTGATAATTGCCTTAATCTCTGCAATTCCCTATAAACCAGTGATTTTGCCTCTGACTTAGTATTTCGATAGGGAAGAAGATCCACATAGCTTTCCCAGTGGTTGTTGCTACCTTAATAGCCCTTACTTTATGGGTAAAAAAATGTGGGGATTCTGCCCCATGCTGAGGATTTCTGTCCCAACTAAGCACCCTCGTAGAGGGCAAATGAGTACATGGTGAGTTTGGGGTCCCAATGGTGAACCTAAATTAGAACACCTTTTTTCAGTAAGCTGTTGCCCTAAAAAACCAGTTGCAATGGTTGTCTGCACTTTCAGGAACTCATGAAAACTCAGCTCTAGATGCCAAATATCCCCTAAAAGTTTGTGACTTTTCTTTTTTCCATGGCCACTCAATAAATGATGACCTTCTCTTTGGGGAAGTTCACGTCTATATGTCTACACCGATGATAGAAGAGAGCATTAGGTAAAAATGTTAAGGCTAAATTTGAGGCTAAGAGAGTACTTACAGAATAATTAAGCAGAAAACAGCATCAAGGCTGGAGCCTCCGAGTATAGATATAGCATGTAGGTGGGGTGTGTGACCTCTGGGTTCAGTGGTCCAAGATTTGAGCTCTTGCTTCCCATGTCCTGACTATACCCAGTTGAGGGGATGGATCAAAACTTTTAAGCAAACCATTCTAAGATGGAGCAGCCTCACAAATTTGCATTTTAGAATTTCTTATGGAACACTCTTCTAGCTGCTTGTCTGTTGTACACCCAATATGTTAATATGAGTCAAGTCATGTTCTGAGGACACTGTGGTGGACCAAATGAAACACAGGCTCTGCCTTCATGCAGTTTACATTCTAGTAGGAAAGACAGACATTCATCGAGTTGTCATACAAATAAATGTCAAATTGCAACTGTGATAAATACTATGAGGGAAAGTCATTGGTGCTATAAAAGCTTATCACAGGGGGAATGTGACCTGGTCATCAGGGTCACAAAAGATTTCCTAAGGAAGTTTGCTCTGCTAGCAAAAGGATGAGTAGAAATTGATAAGATGAAGTGGAGTAAAAAAGAGTATTTGAGGCAGAGAGAAGAGCATTGCTAAGTCCTTTGGGGAGAAGAGTTGCTGATGAGTGTAGGAGTTTACCGGAAAGTTCGGTGCAGCCAGAGTATGGAGTATAGGGAGGAGGTGTTGGGAAAGTGAGACCCAAGATAACGGGTAGGACCAAACCATGCATGACTTGAAAGGCAAAAGCATTTTAAGAACGAAGGATGGTGATGTGGTCATACTTTGCATTTTTGTACAATCAATCCAGCTGTAATATAGAGAAGAGATAGAGGAGGTGGGCAGAGTGTGAGTGGATAGACCAGCTAGGAGGCTATTGTAGATATAACTGGAGAAATAACTTTGGTGGTAGAAGAGATGGAGAGAAATGGAGATATTCAAGAGCTATTTAGAAACATAGGCAGAACACTCCATGACGTAAGTCACAGCAAGATCCTTTTTGACCCACGTCCTAGAGAAATGGAAATAAAAGCAAACAAACAAAAGAGCTATTTAGGAGGTGAAAAACAGCAGTTGTTGGTACATTGGATACTTTGGAAATGGTGTTAAGGAAAAGAAAGGGGCTAATTCTGATGGGGCCGTGTCAAATGGTAGTGCTGTCCATTGTTATAAGAGATACTGGATAAGAACCAGGATTGAGGAAAACAGTATGAGTTCAGTTGTACATAAGGTGAACTTGAAGTGTCCTTGAGAAGACCGAGAGACGTAGGCTGTTGGATACATGAATTTGAAGCTCCAAGTAGAGGTCTGGGCTGGTGATATGATTGGTAAGTCATCTGGGTATACATAGTCATTGACGCCGTGAAAGTTGATGAGAAATCTGTTCCTTGGTATGTCCCCTGAACACTCGTGGATCAGCTACATTTTGTGTTACAGTTATTCCTCCAATGGCTAGCAAAAGAGTAGGGTACGTAAAGTTGAGTGTTTGCCAGAATCTAATGGACAGAGAAAGGCAGGGATGGTATTTTATTCACATTTCACAAAATTAAAATGTACTATTACTTAGGTTTTTATTGAAACCATACTATGTTATTAATAAATCTGAAGTTTTAAAAGGTTGTACATGGGCTGCAAGGGTTTCTGTGGTTAGATCATCTCCCTTTACATTCCATTCATAGGCTGCAGTTCATCTTAGGTAATTTATCATGTAGTTTTCATATTGGTGCCTATATTTTTTTAAACTGTGATAGCCATGGCAGCGTGCTGCTTAGATCTTCTTTCAGGAAAGAATTTGCCATTCAGCTGCAAGGAGAGCAGTTAACTGACAGCTTCCAGTCGTTAGCACTTTCAGGACCTGCCTTTGGCCTCTGAACAGAGAAACTTCCTGGGCAGGCACCCTTCAGCCATGACTGAGCATGGTCTGAGTCCTAGGGTCTGGGACTCCTCTGATGGGAAATCTTTTCTCTGGACCTTATTATTGGGTTGGCTGTGACTTTGTCAGATGTGCACTGTGGTCGGATGACCTCTTTGCTCAATCCAGCTTCCCCTCCCCCCCCCTTTCTTTTCAGAGGTGTCAGATCGCCATCATGGGTTGAAGATTTTCCTTGCTCAATTCTGCTTCCATCCCCTCTTTTCTTTCACAGCTTTGGCCCCAATAAACCTTTGCACTTGCAATTCCATTTCAGCATCTACTTTCCAGAGGCTCCAGTGGATCTCTATAGTATTGCTCTACATTCCCAATCACAAATGTGGATCAATGGTTCAAAAATGGTTCACTGAAGAAGAAAACTGACAGCAATAAGCACACTATACCAATATGTACATGTACTATAATTCAAAATAATGCCATGAACATATGGAATGATTAGGGCTCCGACTGCAAATATAGAATATATTTCTCTATGTACGAGAATACATGATTTGGGGTGAGGATTTTACATAAAAGAAGCCCAAACAGAAAAGTGCTCATCTTAAAAAAGTGGATTTTATTGGATCAGAAATCTGTTCCCGGGCTTCCCTGGTGGCGCAGTGGTTGAGAGTCTGCCTGCCGATGCAGGGGACACGGGTTCGTGCCCCGGTCCGGGAAGATCCCACATGCCGCGGAGAGGCTGGGCCCATGAGCCATGGCCGCTGAGCCTGCGCGTCCGGAGCCTGTGCTCCACAACAGGAGAGGCCACAACAGTGAGAGGCCCGTGTACCGCAAAAAAAAAAAAAAAAAAAAGAAATCTGTTCCCTAGTACCTCAGTAACTAGTTTGCTGTCTGTTTTTGCATCATTTTCAAACAATATGTAATTCCTTTTTTAATAAAAACAATTGGGAATGAAATTGATTGCTTTTATAGATAAATTCATGAAAGGTAGCAGTACCACGGAAGTACTGAATTAGTTTGGGTCCCCCCAGAATAGCTCGTTCATTTGGGAGGTAATCCCAGGAAGCCAGAGTATAGAAGCAGAAAGAGTGAGGCGGTCAGAAGGAAAGACAGTGAAGGTTATGTCATGCATCTGGCTATTATTCTGGAAAGCAGAACTTGGTCCTACTGCGGATTCTGTAATGAACTATGGAGCATAAACCTCAGAATTTTCCCTCCACGTGACAGAAGGTTTAGTCTTTCATTCACTGACTCACATACTTGTGGGCTCTGGCTGTGAGTAGGCTGGGTGAGATCTTGGTGCTCTGGAGAAAAACCTGGGGCAGAGAAGCTCAGAGATGCTATGGACACTTGAGACGAGAAGGAAAG